TCGATAATTTTTAAAATTCTTTAGTTGTTAATGTCTTAGGACAAAAGATTTTAGCTTCAGAGTTTATTCTCTCTATATGGCTTTCTCGTATGAGCGAGGTAAACAGATGCTTTCTGACCAAAGCAGAGTAGGCAGTTGCCTATGATCCCATGGCATCAAGGGGCTCACTGTGGTTACACTTTTGTTTAATAACCTTCTCAGATAATTCTTACTGGGAACAGTATTTTTAAAGCATTATATTTAGAAAAAGGTTGTTATATATATATATTCCTACCATTCATAGATACAATTAATACAATTACAGACATCAGTAATTATACAGATAATTAATATGTACACAGGTGGGAAATAATAATATTTATATCTACCCTGTCGTCACCTCCTGATGTCTCCCTGAAGCGGATAAAGTCTCTAATAGCACTTGCTCTTGGGATTGTCTGGGGCTGTTTTACATCGAAGAAATCTCGGTAAAGATTCCCAGTGAAGATTGTATTTACAACAAATTTGACTGATGGAATTCCCAGCAGGAGATCCACTGCCATTTACAACCATTCTATAGTATAATCTGACTAGCTCGTTTTCAGACGAACGGCAGGAGTTCATAAAGTTCATAAAACGCTTGTGCATTTGAAATTCTACGGGATGACCATCCACAATTCTAGGCAACAAGTCACAGTGAATGTCATATGGCACCATGAGAATGCGACGAATGCATTTCCGCCATGCGCAATAAAAACTTTCGATTGTCTTATGATCAAAATCCCAAAGATTCGATCCATATGAACACATACAATATGTTTTAAACAGACTGTATTGCACATCATATGAACAATGTGAAAATTTAGATAGTAACGAATTACATCTCTGCTACAATTCATTCACGCTTTTATGAATGAAATTTACTCTGTAGTTAAAGCTGATGTAATGACCAAGGTGTATAGCTGATTCGCTTAATGGAACCACCATGCTATAGAACAATATAGGCTGTTATACATTATCATTACTAACTGAAGTAGGACACCTGAATTTTAGAAACTGGCATTTTGCTGGATTGAACTTAATGTTAAGGTCCTTGCCTATTTCTTCGGCAATTTCCAACATATTCAATAACCCAGTTCTAGACGGAGCTAAATGGATAATGTCATCGGCGTAAGCGATTGCTCCTGGAAATGGATAGAATTTCAAAGAGAAAGAGAGAAAAAGAAGAAGACTTGTGGCTCATTATGGTCTTAATATGGATCTGCTTGTAACCAAAAAAGTATGAAAGTCTTGCTTGCCCTGGAGAAGTTTTTAGATACTTCCACTTTGAACCTATTTTTCCCAACATAGCTCCAGGAAGAAAAATCTAATACTTATACCTCATTTACAACTCATTACTATTAATAAAACTTACATTTTGGCTGTAATTTGTTTGTTTGTTTTGGAATTTCGCGCAAAGCTACACGAGGGCTATCTGCGCTAGCCGTCCCTAATTTAGCAGTGTAAGACTAGAGGGAAGGCAGCTAGTCATCACCACCCACCGCCAACTCTTGGGCTACTC